GATACACTGTATAACACAGTGATTTCCGTACCGCCCGTCGTCCTGCTTGTACAGACTCCGGCTTGATCTCTGTGCTGATAAATCAAGTATTGGTGCCAGGAGAACGCTGGAAGTGGGGACCGGTGTTCACAAATCACTCCTCTTTCACCTCTCTTAAAACAAATGCCGCTCACGCTTTAATGCGTTTTGCCCATAACACCAGGATTTCTCCAGATAGTGCGGCGGCCACTAAGAGCATTGCTTTATACGTTCACATCTGTTTAACTCTTAAAGTGGCAAGTGCCCTATATCTTTCCATGAAAAAGGCTCCCCTTACAATACATATCGATTTGGGGTTTCAAAAACACCAAAATATACATCATTAATACAATAAAACACTTGTGTACATATATAAAGAGTTAAACTTGATAAAACCAAACAAATTCATGAATTAAAAAACTTCATATATGTGTGCAAATGCATTAATAACATAAAATGAACAAAATTATTTAAATAATTCAAATGATTATATCAATGTAAGAAAAAACTTGGCTGAGAGTTAGAAACAAATATAGACTTGTTTCATGAGCATATTTAGCTCTTGAGACAAAAAGTAAAAAAATTGTAATATGGAGGACCATAAAAATTTCCTGTTAAAAAATTAAGAACATGTAAAATAAAAAAAAAATTAAGAACGTGTTTTAAGAGAGGTGAAAGAAGATTGATTTCTGAGCACCGGTCCCCACTTCCAGCGTTCTCCCTGCACCAATACTTTGTTAATTGGCACGGAGATCAAGCCGGAGTCTGTACAAGCAGGACAATGGGCGGAACGGAAGTCACTGTGGTATACAATGTATCATAAGATGCTGAACCCCAACTGTAACCCTAAGAAACTGTTATCCAAAGACTTTTGGATTCTACAGCATTTAAACTGTTATTTGAAATAACACGCACTGTGACTTATATGCGTTTGATTATTCATAAGTGTGTTTTTCACCAATCACAATAGTGCATATGTAGGTGTTTTTATTCCATGATATATATATAAATATATATATAGATCACCCACTTTAGTGTTTTCTAAGTATAGCGCTTACACTTATTTTTAAATACCTTAAAGCAGAATGATGTCAGGATGAAATATGGTACATATTTTCTAACAGTGTCTTTCTGGGTTTCAAAATCAAAGGTTTAGCTAAGAAAATACCAGGTAAAAATGGTGTGTGCTTAGAAATATTTAATATGATATGAGCCACACAATTTTTTGTAAGCTATTTTCTTAAATGGTTTTTACTAATGTATATTTTTTCTTATTCCTTTCCTCCAATGGTTTACATCTTCCTGGAAATTAAATGTCTGCATTAAACTTCTGGATACCAACTGTGTCTTGAAGCTAACACTGAAAAATGTATTGGATTAGCAATTTGCATACTAATTTAAAATAATTAATCAGACAAGGCTAAAGAATTGAGAACAAATTAAATTAAAAAAATTGTTGGAACTACTGACAAAAAGAAATGTAAAAACAAAAGAAATAACAGGGGAAATGAATGTTTTAAAGGACAAACATTAAAGGAGCACTATAGGGTCAGGAACACAAACATGTATTCCTGACCCTATAGTGTTAAAACCACCATCAAGCCCCCCTGGTTCCCTCATGCCTTCCTAATAGAGTTGAGTGAGGCTCAACTCTATTAGGGAGTAAAGTGCAGGTTCATACCGAACATTACGGTTTTTGGACCCCGGACCTGAACACGGACATTTCAGTGTATGTTCGGGTTAGAGTTCGGTGTTCGTCGAATTAATGGCGCATTTTGAAAGGCTGCAGGGCAGCCAATCAACAAGCGTGTGCCCTTAGAAGCCATCACAGCCATGCCTACTAGTTACATAGTTAGCTGAAAAGAGACTTGCGTCCATCAAGTTCAGCCTTCCTCACATTTGTTTTTTGCTGTTGATCCAAAAGAAGGCAAAAAAACCCAGTTTGAAGCACAATTTTGCAACAAGCTAGGAAAAAAAATTCCTTCTTGACCCCAGAATGGCAGTCAGATTTATCCTTGGATCAAGCAGTTATTACCCTACATTGAAAGATTATATCCTTGAATATTCTGTTTTTGCAAGTATGCATCTAGTAGCTGTTTGAACATCTGTATGGACTCTGATAAAACCACTTCTTCAGGCAGAGAATTCCACATCCTCATTGTTCTTACAGTAAAAAAACCTTTCCTTTGCTTTAGACGAAATCTTCTTTCTTCCAGTCTAAACGCATGGCCTCATGTCCTATGTAAAGTCCGGTTTGTGAATAGATTTCCACAAAATGGTTTGTATTGGCCCCGAATATATTTGTATAATGTTATCATATCCCCTCTCAGGCGACGTTTTTCTAAACTAAATAGGTTTAAATTTGTTAACCTTTCTTCATAGCTGATATGTTCCATTCCTTTTATTAATTTTGTAGCCCTCCTCTGCACTTTTTCTAGTGCCATAATATCCTTCTTTAGAACAGGTGCCCAAAATTGCACAGCATATTCAATATGGGGTCTTACCAGTGATTTATAAAGAGGCAAAATGATATTCTTGTCCCGAGAATGAATGCCCTTTTTCATGCATGACAATACCTTACTGGCCTTGGCCACTGCTGATTGACATTGCACATTGTTGCATAGTTTGTTGTCTATAACAATTCCCAAGTCCTTTTCATGTGTTGTTATCCCTAATTCGCTTCCATTAAGGGTATACGTTGCTTGTGTATTCTTTACGCCGAAGTGCATAACTTTGCATTTTTCAACATTAAATTTCATCTGCCATTTGAGTGCCTAGTCCCCCAGTCTATCTAAATCCCTCTGCAGAAAATTAATATCTTGCGCACATTGTATTATTTTACAAAGTTTTGTGTCATCTGCAAACTTTCAATGCTGTCTTCAAGATCATTTATAAACATGTTAAAAAGAAGGGGTCCCAGAACAGACCCCTGAGGGACAACACTTGCCACCTCTGTCCAGCTTGAAAATTTACCATTAATGACAACTCTTTGTACTGTTTTTAAGCCAATGTTCTACCCAAGAACAAGCATTTTCATCTAGACCGATTTCATTGAGTTTGAACACTAATCTATTGTGTGGAACTGTATCAAATGCCTTGGCAAAATCCAAATAGATCACATCCACGGCAACACCCTGATCTATACTTCTACTTACTTCTTCGTAGAACGCAATCAAGTTAGTTTGACATGACCTGTGCTTCATAAAACCGTGCTGATTTTTGCTGATAACCATGTTCTTCTCAAGGAATTCTTGAATATTATCCCTTAATAACCTTTCAAATATTTTACCAGCCACAGAAGTTAAGCTCACAGGTCTATAATTTCCAGGCAAGGATTTTGAACCCTTTTTGAATATAGGAACCACATCTGCCTTCCTCCAATCCTCCGGAACACTTCCTGAAAGAAAAGAATCTTGAAAGATTAAAAACAGAGGTTCACTTATTTCTACACTTCGTACACTTCGTACACGTGGATGTATACCATCAGGCCCTGGAGCTTTGTTTATATTAACTTTCTTTAGTTGCTGCAACACCTTGTCTTGAGTTAACCAATTACAATTATTCTGCAAGTTTTTAGTAGCAATCATTTGCACATCTATTGCCATGGGTTCTTCCTTAATATATACTGTGGTTACATCTCACTTTTAAAAATTCAAATTTTTTTGGTGCTAAAAAGTAAATTTGGGGCGTGCACTTCATGTCTGAGAGTCAGATAGCACCATCAAATACTGTGGTTACATCACACTTTTAAAAATTAAAAAATTTTTGGTGCTAAAAAGTTAATTTGGGCATGCACTTCATATCTGAGAGTCAGATAGAACCGTCAAATACTGTGGTTACAGCACAGTTTTAAAAATTCATATTTTTTTGGTGCTAAATAGTACATTTGCTGCCTGCGGTGCACTTCATACCTGAGAGTCAAATAGAACCGTCAAATACTGTGGTTACATCGCACTTTCAAAAATTCAAATTTTTTTGTGCTAAATAGTACATTTGCAGCCTGCAGTGCATTTCTTGCAGTCCAATAAAAATAAAAATAAAAATCATCACTGGAAAGAAAGAGGAAGTACCCCCCTACTCACCCGCAATCCCTGGCCCTGAATGCCAGCCTTTCAAAATTCCTGGCCTTTGAAATGCTGTCATTACGTCTGGTGGAGACGGACAGTTTTAAAAACCTGATGGCGTTGGCTGTCCCACAGTATGTGGTTCCCAGACGCCACTACTTTTCCAGACAAGCCATCCCTTCCCTGCACAACCAATTGGCAGACAAAATCAGGTGTGCACTGCTCAACACCATCTGTGGCAAGGTCCACATAACTACTGATACGTGGACCAGTAAACACAGGCAGGGACGCTATATCTCCCTAACTGCACACTGGGCAAATGTAGTGGCGGCTGGGCCTGAGGCAGATAGCAGTTTAGCGCATGTCCTAGGATTGTAGGGCATTTGCCACCTGTTGCCTCCTCCTCCTACTCCGCTTCCTCCTCCTCCTCTACCACCTCTTCATCCGGTCAGCATAACACCTTCACCCCCGATTTCAGCAAAGCCAGGGGGAAACGACAGTAGGCTGATTTAAAACTCAGATGTTTTTGGGGAAAACCCCACACCACGCAGGAGCTGTGGATGGGCATGGAACAACAGACCAATGAGTGGTTGTTGCCACTGAGCCTCAAGCCCGGCCTGGTGGTGTGCGATAATGGGTGAAATTTCGTAGCAGCTCTGGGATTAGCCGGTTTGCCGCACATCCCTTGCCTGGCGCATGTGCTGAATTTGGTGGTGCAGAAATTCCTGAAAAACTACCCAGATATATCAGAGCTGCTGCAGAAAATGTGGGCCGCGTTCGGCGTTCTCACCCTGCCGCTGCTTGCCTGTCAGTGCTGCAGTGTAACTTTGGCCTTCCCGCTCACCGCCTCATATGCAACGTGCCCACAAGGTGGAACTCCACCTTGCACATGCTGGAGAGACGATAGTGGAGTTTCAGTTGCAGCACGCACGGGTCAGTCGCTCTGCACCAGACTTGCCCTCCAATAGATCCTCATTAAAGGATTTAAAGTGTACTCATTCCAATTACAGGGCCTCGAAAGAGTCCTGTATTGTTATTTATCGTCACTACTGCCCCGCGTCAGGAGTGGGTAATTTGCGCACCTGCTGCCTTCCATGGATGTGGTAGCCGTTTCTCAGGCTCCCTCTCTTGAATCGAACCCTGATTCCCCGTTACCCGTGGTCACCATGGTAGGCGGAGAAAGTGCCATCGAAAGTTGATAGGGCAGACACCCGAATGCTTCGTCGCCGTCACAGGGACGTGCGATTGGCCCAAGGTTATCTAGAGTCACCAAAGTGCCTGCGCAACGACTGCAGAGTTGACCACATTCTAACTTGCGCTGATTACTGGATGGCCAGCCTGCTGGATCCCCGTTACAAGGACAACGTGCCGTACTTAATTCCCTCACTGGAGCGTGATCGGAAGATGCGTGACTACAAGCGCACGCTGGTAGACGCACTGCTGAGGGCATTCCCAACTGACACCGGGGGCTCAGTGGAAGCACAAGGCGAAGACAGAGGAGGAGGAAGAGGTCGCCAACGCAGCGGGGGCACCGCCAGCACCTCAGAAGGCAGGGTTAGCATGGCCGAAATGTGGAAAAGCTTTGTCAGCATGCCACAACAACCAGCACCACCAGCTGATATGTAATGTCTTAGCAGGAGGCAGCATTTCAGCAACATGGTGGAACAGTACGTGTGCACACGCCTACACATACTGACTGATGGGTCTGCCCCATTCAACTTCTGGGTCTCCAAATTGGGCACATGGCCTGAGCTTGCCCTTTATGCCTTGGAGGTGCTGCCCTGCAGCCAGTGTATTATCTGAATGTGTGTTTAGCATGGCAGGGGGCGTTATCACAGACAAGCGCAGCCGCCTGTCCACAGCCAACGTGGACAAACTCACGTTTATTAAAATGAACCAGGCATGGATCCCACCAGACTTGTCTGTACCTTGTGCAGAATAGACATTTATATCGGCCTCACCCAGCCATTGTTATACTCAAGTGCACTTATTCTTTGTTTTTGTTTTTTTATATGTTCCAATATTTTGGGGGCTACCCCAAGTGTTTGCAGGGCACTTGTCCTAATCTTACCCCCATTTTTCTTCCTTTTGCAGCCCTCTCGCCCCTTTCCAGGACTTTTTTAGAGACATTTTAGTGCCCTAAAGTTGGGGTCCCCATTGACTTCAATGGGGTTTGGGTTCGGGGTCAAGTTCGGGTCAAGTTCGAGCCGAACTCAAACTTTTTGACGAGGTTCGGCTGAACTCGGCGAACCCGAACATCCAGGTGTCCGCTCAACTCTACTCCCTAAATATAGTAATATCATACCTGAATTCAAACCTGCAGATGCTTACATGTCCCTGTTTCCTTTAGACCTGCCCACTGCCTATGGACATCAGCAGAAGTGGTAGCCTGATCCAATTACAATGCTTCCCCATAGGATTGGCTGAGACTGACAAAGAGGCATATCGGGGCAGAGCCAGCATGATTCAAACACAGCCCTGGCCAATCAGCATCTCCTCATAGAGATGCATAGAATCAATGCATCTCTATGAGGAAAGTTCAGTGTCTGTATGCAGAGGGAGGAGATACTGAATGTTTGGATGCATTGTAGGCAGCCATGACCCAGGAAGGATCTCTAACAGCTATCTGAGGAGTAGCCAGTGAAGATATCACTAGGATGTAATGTAAACACTGCATTTTCTCTGAAAAGACTGTGTTTACAGCAAAAAGTCTGAAAGTAATGATTCTACTCACCAGAACAAATTCAATAAGCTGTAGTTATTCTGGTGACTATCGTCACACTCCAGACCCCAAGCACACATTGACTTGCTGAAGTGCTTTTTGTGTGAAAAGTGTGTTATATTTTTAATAGTTTTCTTTTTTTTTCATTTTACAATAAGTGCAGTTTTCAATAGTAAATTGCACCTTTATAAATTAACCTTGCTAAACCCCCTGGCTGTCAATCTGACAACCAGTTCTGTTAATTCCTGGTCTAATTAGCTCAGTGGAACTAAACCCAAGAGGCAGCAATTTCTCAGAGCACCTGACTTGCAAAGACATCTCATTGGGTTGCATTGGGACATCTGTGATTGGACAGACACATAAAGTCTGGGTGAGGTTAAAAGGGGATGAAGAGAAGAAATGCTGCTTTTATAAGCTGTTTTAAGATCTATTTCCAGTGGAATTAAAATGCATGATTAAACGCATGCATGTTTTTATTGGTGGTATATCTACTAAATAGTGATTTTATTTGGATTGGGCAGTGAAGAGTACCTTTAAAGGAACACTAATGTTAAGTATACAAACAAGTATTAACAATGTTACAGTGTATTCTTAACTATTTAAATTTATGCCCACCCCACGTGACTAGGTAAATTAAGCAAATTACTATCTTTTAGTCCCCAGGCTTGTTGGTTGAGCTGACGTGCCACTCCTCTCCTGAATGAGATCATCATAACATATAGGGATGCATAGGGCAAGTGTACCTGTATGGCAAATGCTATTCAGTACCAATCAGCATCTCCTCATACAGATGCATTGACTCAATTAATTTCTAGGGAAAGCGCTTGGAGCCTTTAATGCATGGTTCTGCAAGGCTGCAAAGATTGCAGTACTGCTTTAGGAAATGCCTATAGTGACTGTTTGAGTAACAGGCATTAGCAGTAGCCTTAAAAAGCAATGTAATTTTACTTTAACTTTCTATAGTTCTTGAGCAAGCATTGTTATGAGCATTTCGTGTGTAGGGCATGGTGACAAATGTCATACTATTGAATTGTATGTTTCAGTTGAGCACAATAGGTTCATATCAACATGAACTAGTACTCTACGGACAGAAAGTGCAAACACAAGGAACCTCACTAAGTGAGAATTTTCAGGATTTCTAAGTTAATTCAGACTGAATTTCAAATATAAGGTTAAACTAGCCAAGCTCAAAAATCTCAAATTCAGCTGTGCTTACAGTTAGTGCTCAAATCAAATTCCCGACATGTCTCCCTTTAGTAGATAACCCTGATAGTCTAAACCAGGCCTCCACAAAGTCCGGCGCTCCAGATGTTGCTGAACTACAACTCCCATGATTCTCAGCCTATCTATTTCATTCATAGAATCATGGGAGTTGTAGTTCAGCAACATCAGGAGGGCTGGAGTTTGGGTAAGCCTGGTCTAAACAGATGAAGTGGACAGCTGTCTTTTCCAAGGGTAGATTTTTCAAGCTAATATTTGTTGGAGTTAAAATGTTCAAAAGACTTATTTAGCCAGACTGTAAATATTTAGTTATTATAACATTCTTAGAAACACAATAATTAAGCACACTGCACATGAGCATTTTGTTTCCATGCATAATTAAACAGCATTAGAAGAAATAATAAATATACTGCATAAGTTTTCAGTCTTTAGAGATTGATGTAAAATCCTCAAATTTTATCACATGACAGGAGGCTTCCTATTTTGCATAACTCTCTTTACTAAACTCCATAGCAGTAAAGAAAGTGAAACATTTAAACCAATCAAAATGCAAATAGGGAGTATGTCATCCCAGCAAATAGGCTCCTCCTCCTCTTTCTTTACTGCTCCATCGCAGACAGGTCAGAGTTTTTGGCTCTTCCCTATTTACCTCATAATATAGTTTTTATGTACATTTATAATTGTTACTTATGTTTATTTACTTTATTTCCTCTTACTATCTTTTACTTTCCTTGATATTTCTGTATTTTAAACTTCATAGTGAACTTTCAGAAATCGGCTATTTCCCCATCACAAACAGTACAATTCCTGGGATTCGAGATAGATTCCATCTCCAGCACCCTACGGCTACCATCGGCAAAAATCTCAGCCATTCGCAAGGAATTGCGCAGGGCCATCCGCTGCCACACCATTCCACTGCGCACCCTCGCACGCATTGTGGGACTTCTCTCGGCTTCCATACAAGCTATATTCCCCGGTCCCCTCCACTACAGGGCGATGCAGCACCTCAAAGCTTCCTTCCTCAGGAAAAACCTCTCATACGATCAGCCAATCCCATGACAGAAGAAGTCAGAGACGAACTCAGATGGTGGCTAGACAGCATGGAGGCATGGAACGGCCGAGCCATCTTCGGAAGGGCTCCCGATATGATATTAGAATCAGATGCCAGCCTCTGGGGATGGGGCGCGACGAGCGAAAATACATCGACAGGAGGAACCTGGACATCCCAAGACCTCAACATGCATATAAACTGCCTAGAACTCCTAGCAGGGTCATTCGCCATCCGAAGCCTAGCAAAGGACAAGTTGGATTGCTGCATCCTCCTCAGGATGGACAACATCTCTGCAGTCCGCTACATCAACCGCCTAGGCGGAGCCCGTTCCCGCCTCCTGTCAGAAATCACGAAAGAGATCTTCGATTTCTGCCTACCCCGCAACATCTCCCTCACGGCAGAATATCTCCCAGGAGAGACAAACCTCACAGCAGACTGGTTCTCACGTCACTGGCGGGACACCAGCGACTGGAAACTAGATCCACAAATCTTCAACCACATTGCGGATCGCCGAGGACCACTCCACCTGGATCTATTTGCGTCCCGCAACAACAGACAAATGGAACTGTACTTCAGCTGGCTCCCGGATCCGGAGAGCGCTGCAGTGGACGCATTCCTACAACCATGGCCGATCACGGGAGCCTACGCCTTTCCCCCTTTTGCCATGATAGCGAGGACCATACACTACCTGAAGAATCAACAAACCTCTCTAGTGCTCATCACTCCACTATGGAGAGGACAACCTTGGTTCCCGGACCTCCTAGCTCTTTCATACAAGGATCCTCTTCAATTACCCTATCATCAGTACATTCTCACAGATCCAAGCGGACACCCTCATCCACTCATCCTGGACGAGCGTCTCCATCTGGTGGCTTGGACACTTTCAGGGGCTCCTGGCAAGTCGGCGAACTATCGCAGGCTGCTAAAGAGCTACTATGGGACTAATGGGCCCCTGGAACCAGAAGATGCTACCTGTCCGCTTGGAACTCCTGGTCCACTTGGTGTTTGGAACGGAACATCGATCCATTTACAGCCCCTATTTCAGCCATTTTGAACTTCCTATCCCACCTATTCTCATTAGGTCGGTCTTACAGATCACTCAACGTAATTCGTTCAGCTATTTCAGCAGCTCATGTCCCCATACTAGGGATTCTGGTTGGTAAGGACCCACTGGTGTGTCGACTTCTGAGGGGCATTCGATTACAACGCCCTCCAGGCCCAAAATATTCTCGATTCTGGGACGTCGACGTAATCCTCCGATTCCTGAGAGACTGGCCAACTAACGACAGACTCTCCCTCCGACAACTCTCAGCAAAACTCACGGTCTTGCTTTGCCTGGTCTCCTTCCGCAGAGTGTCAGACATTCGAGCGCTGGACATAGACGCT